ATTCATTTATGCATGATCTGTTGCGAATACACGGAGAGAAATATTCACTTGTAATACTACAAGAGCTTCAAAATTATCGGGTATTTTCCGATAGGTCCGTTGCAAACAAACGAAAGAGTCAAGTTTTTCAGGTTAAAAAATCACAAGTGCGAAGCACGAGTGATTTTTCCTAAAAAACTTGACGACTTCGTTTGTATGCAGGGAACCTTGAGGAAAATGCCCGATTAATTTTGAAGCTCGTGTGGTATTCGAGGGATTATTTTTCCAATCCAAATGTCGGGCAATATAATTGGACCATGAGACGAAACTCAAAATTGAAAAACGAAAATTGTATAATTAACACAACGACACAATTGAATTCAATCTGTCAGTTTGACGAGGGATTAATTCGACTGCATGATGTTTTGTTTTTTATATAGCCACTACCAGAAAAAATTATCAAAAAATTATCAGTTGAAAACCCTGTAGCTTGCACCACGTGATGTCGAATGGGCCAATTATATTCCCCGATATTTGGGTTGGAAAAATAATCAATAAAAATTACGTATCTTTTCCGTAATTCCGGAGCGAAATGTGGATTGATTTCGTAGGAAATTTTACGGAACTGTCACGGAATTTTTCCAGAGCGTTTCGTAATTTTTCTCTGAATTTCTTGGGAAAAATTACGATACCGTCACTTAAATTTTCTGAGTCGATTCCATAATCGGTGAGTGAATTGTGAGTTCCGTACTTTTTACTGAACATTTCTCTCCGTGTAAAGTAAAATGGATGTTTAACTTTATTCTTGGAGTGAACCGAACATTAAAAAAAAGCTAAAATCGTATGAAAAATACGACGCAAGGAGCATTTTGAAGGTAACAACAGGACAAAATGAAGTTTTTTGTGGTTATAAGGGGCAAAATCGATCAGGTCCACGATTTTCCTTAATTATTCACATATTCCGTCATATATCATAAACTGTTCAATGAATCCCAAGGCCCAATGAAAACTTAAATTTCACCTACGTATTCGCTTAAGGATGTTTATCCAAAATCACAAGTACTTAAAAAACATTGATTTTTTTAAAACTGAGAGATGAAGATATTCCCTTCACTTTGATACAAATTTTCATCCACCAACCTATGTTCATTATTTAAATAGAAATGAAATAGACAAAATGCACCAAATGCATGCACTAACATGCGCTTATATGGGATAGAATCATTCAAATATTTCATCTTTTTGCCCGCGTATCCAAGATTTTTCTCCGGCCATTGGATTCAGTATGATTTTACACATTACCTTCTATTTTTATTTCTATTTTTAGAGTTTTCTAGTAGGCGAATTATCAATTTAAACATAAATTTCATAAGAGCCCATGTATAAGAAAATAGTATATTTCGATACAAGTGCGACGAGTTAAAACACCCCGTCGCACGTGTATCCGAACTATATTTTTTGTTAGTGATGTTACGTTCAGCGAGTGCCGAATTGTGCCATTTTTCGATTCCTGGTAAACGAAAAATCTTTTCATTTACAAGTTTCGACTTTTCGCGCAGCCTGCTCAAAACTCGACTACCGTACGAGGTGGCATAAAACAGTATAGAGCACTCGGCGATAATAGTATATTACGTGCTAAGGCGGAGAAGTGCTGAATTCAACGC